CTCTCTTTTAAAGTGTATACCTAAGTATCATGTGTAGATCATCGAGGTTGGAGGGTAAGAGCTCGTCAAGAACAAGAGCTTGACGAAAAGCATCAAGAGATTGAAGTTCTTCTGCGTCGATATCATCCTCAATCGGTACGGACATGACTCTGCTGGTGCTTCTTCGACCTTTCTTCTTGAATGAGTTCTTGAATCTGTTGGATGCATTTATCGCCTTCTTCTTCAATGAACACATCTTCACTATCTTCCTCTCTTCCTCCGACATCTCTATTTCTGATATTAACAATATCCAATATTTTGCATCAGTACTACTATTAAGAAATAATAACATATGTGTTAAGGCATAATATGATGAAATTACGACTAACCAGGTTTGGTCTCAGCCATGGTTAGATGAGTTTTGAAGCACTCTGTTTCGCACGGCAATCAAATACCTACCAATACAATGTTGTCAAGATCATTTTACAAAAGCTTATATCAAAATGTATGAGAAATCATCAGATGAATCTAAAAGAATCATGATAAGAAAAAGACCAAACCTTATTTTTTTTTACCTTATTGGAGAAGGGTGTTTGACGAGGGGTAAGGGAGATTGAAGATAATGGAGATGCTCATTTGAAATAAGTTGAAAACATGGAGACAACTATTTTACATATGATTCTAACAATCTATATATTGACAGGGTCCTAGACATTTTGATAATATAAGAAAAAATCTAATCGTATTAAATTAATAATTGTAGTTATAAATTAATGAACAACCAATCGTTTGTAAGTAAATAAATTAAATAATGAATATAAGAGAAAAGAGCATGTCTTTGTATTAGGCGAATTGTGCATCCCACTACTTCAACATTTTGTATAATGTTTCAAAAATCTTGATGTCAACCAAAGTATCTCATGATATTATTTTTTATTTTGTAGTGTTGTTGAGAGATTATCTACCAAAATTATATACATATAGTGAATTTGGTTTATAAGGAACTAGATTAGGACCTGCATAATATGCGGGTATTAGATATTTATTTTTTAAAATCCTTTACATATTAAAGGAGAAGCATTGGATACCACTTTTGCTTAAGTGTTACTCCCCCAATTTTTCTCAGTTTTTTATTTAAATTTGAAATTTTTTTTTCCTAATATTATTATATCATTTGCCAAACACTATTTCACTTGCTATACCTATTTTAATTGGCTTTAATTCTATTGCCAAACACGTAACAAATTTTAAAAAATATTTTTTCAACTCATTAAAATTCTGAAAAATATATGCTTGCATTCAAAATTATATAGCACATTTCGTTTGACAATATTTTTAAAATATTAGAAATCCTAAACAAATGAGAACAATCATATATGATTCAATTTTGAATTTTTCGATAACACATAAAACTTTGAACATGTTCAATTGTTCTTCTTCTATATATGAAATTTGATCATCAAATCTCCGTTTACTGCATTTGTCACTGAAATTGTCAATTTTAGTTAATATGATTATATAAAATTTAGAATACATTGCAAAACATTAACCATAGTTATTTTAAATAATAAAAAAAAATCGTATTTAAATACTCAAAATACCAAATTTTGTATATTATAAACTAAATATAACGTTATGCTTACAACTATAAAGTTAAAAAAATGAATTGCAAAAAAAAAAAATCATTTATCTAGACAAAATCGATATTGTTACCAAATATTATATGAATAGATTGAATCTAAAATTTGTAGAAACTTGAAAATAAGATCTAACAAGGAAACCAAATAAATAAGAACAAAAAATAGATATTAAATGATTGGGAAGTTCAATTTTTACCATTGTTTCGTGTATAAAATATTTGATTAGTTATAATTATTCAAATGAATCTAAACATATTAATTTTTCAAATATATTAGTAGATAGTATTCATACGAATCGGTAAATCTCCATTAATTATAGGTGATATTCAAAAGACTAACCTACGTTGATACAATGCTACATGGAGAGTTGGACATTATAAAATGAGTGTTATGCCACTCGAATTTTCATCACAAAACAAATACTACTAAATTTCTTCGCCACACATAGTTAGATAAAAAAAAATCTATCTTAGCAAATGACAACTATCACAGATTTATATTCATTGAAACCCTTCGCCGAGTTTGTTTTTCTCATTATGTCATTCATTTGGTTGCACTTAAATTGTTATAGATGAAAATATATTTTCAACTATCATAGATGAAAATATATTTTGGTAATCTCTTCTCGATCTATTGTTTTTGTAATTTCTATAATCATATGCATTCTCTGTATTTGTAATCACTAGTATAGTTCTCCAAATTTCAGTATTAGATTCATGTTGTTTGCTTAAAAACAAAAACAATAGGATATGTACTTTAAGTTATTTTATCTTAGTCATAATATTTTTCCTGTTTAAATTGACAGCATGACAAATTACAAGACATTGNTAATTTCTATTGAATTTTATGATTTTCTAAAAGACCATGAAGATTTCAGCAACTATTTTTCACTATTTGCAAGAATCAAAGATGGAGAGGTAAGTGTCCCTCTANACNTTCTANNGGTAGTAGAATTCAATTCAANGTGAGCATCCATACAATTCATTTACTTTTTTCATTCCATGTGTTATCAAAGAACCAAGATTTTGTCTAAATATTTGTTATAATTGCATGTTCCAACTAAATATTTGTTTCGGATTGGAAACTTTCAACTACTTTGTCTTCGGAGAATAACGGATTTCGAATCCTGTATATTTTAACCTCTTCAACATATATACATTTAAATCATAATATATACAAATGAATCTCAAATTTGT